CAAGAAGGAGAGGGAAGTGTACGTGACTGAGCTGGGAAAAATAGATGGAACGTACAGGGAGATGTTTGAGGCATGGAATAGAGAGGAAAGGACGGTAACTGTACTGGGGTATAGGAGGTGGGTTGAAAAGGCGGGAAGGGATATCGGNCCGGGGTCGACCGAACGATTGCAGGTGACGATTACCTCCAAGACGCCCTCTTCTCGGGTGGCGTACAAGGCCAAGTACTCGGACGGGAGGCTTGTGGCGGGAGGGCCCGGACAGAGCGCCGACCCCAAGCCGTGCACGGGCGTTACGGGGACCACCATACTGGTGAGCGTTGGAGCGACGTCTCTGAAGCAGCCCATTTTCGTACGCCTCTTTGTTGATGGTCACAGCGAAGTCTCACGGTCTCGAAAGTGGGGATCACGGAGCAGAATGATTTGTGAGTGTGTCTTTCAGGGAAAAAAACAAAATCAAACAATGACAACCCGTTCGAGTTTTTGTTCAACCGGTGTGTTTTTTTTTGTGTCAGTGTGGTTGGTCGTTCCGGCGGTGGATGTGCTGGGAGTGACCTTGATGGTGGAAGCCTTGATTGCTTCTCGTGGTTTGACGTTGGTACTCGTGTGTGTCGTTTGCAACGCATGATGTTCTGTGCTTCTGCTATCGGTTCTCTCTCCAAATTCTTCGTTTTTTGCCTAGGTTCAAACGTCTGACACAAAACTCCGGGTTTATGTGCTTGCGCCGGCTGCTGTATAATCGAATGATATGATTTTTTTCTGCCAGGCGGAAGACCTTTTCTACAATATGGACACGAGGAGGCGAGCGTTCAAGAGCCCCGGCGAGCAATACAAGGGGATCCTCGATGTCGTTACCCGCTACGCCGTCCACTTCGGCGACAGGGGTGTATCCTTCACGTGCAAGAAGGTGCCATACGCTTACATCCCCCGACGTTGTAAGGCGTGGCGTGTGTGTTTCACCTATCAGCGTGGCCAGCCACACCCAACGTAGCTCACCTCCCGACCTTGTAAGTGTTCATCCACCCAACACGACGTAGCCAAGCAAGAGCACCACAGCAGTCCCCGCCCAAGCACGCTGCCCAAGCCCAGCCGAAGTTCCGACAGCTTCCTTCCCCCCCCCTTATTTTTTCTACCTTGTGCTCCACGCGCTCGCACACACATTCATCGGGGGGGGGCGTCATCCACGTACCAGCACGGTCAGCCCGGCCCCGACCTACACACGCCTCCGAGGTCCAGCTGCCTGGCGAACATCCGGGTGGCGTTCGGGCCGGCGCTGTCGCGGGAGCTCGTGGAGTTGGAGTGCTCCCAGGCCGAGGAATTGCTTGACCAGGGGGTGGACGGAGGCGGTGAGCAGACAAGAAAATATTTTTCGCGGCGGGAGACGGCTGCTGCTCCTCCTCCTGCTGCTCCTGCTGTGAAAATGTTTTGCGCCTGTTGCCGTCAGTGGTCGGATAATTCAAACGTTGCGGGCGATTGCCGCATGCGGTTCACAAGAGACGCAGGCGCCATCGCCGATGTTTGGTGCTTCACTCGTCTTTGGGGTTGAACATGGTATTTATGTTGTTCTTGTATGTCGATCTGGTTTACGAAGAACGTTCAGGATCAATGAAAGTTGAGTTCCACTCCATTGGGCACCACGCCGTGTTGGGTGTTCAATGCCCAGGAAAGAAGGCGGGTTCTACGAAGGTGCTTCTCTCCGACAACCTTGTGTCTCGCCCGTTGTTGCCGTTCCCCTTGCGTGCCTTGCGTGCAGAAGTGCCGCCCTCGAAGTTTGCGTTCAAGGCGAAAGGGCTCGTGTCGGGGGCTGACTACAGCGCCAAGGT